TGGCCAGAGCTGCGGCCTCGGCACCAGGAAGGCTGGCCCGGAGCCACCGAGGAGAACTACACAGCGATGATGTTTGCCAGGCGTTTCCTGAGAGCCAGGCCTGCTCAGCACCTCGCGCATCAGACACTCGTGAGTCCTTAACTTGCCCAGTTCTCCTAGGGACCCCCTGCCACGGCCACACTCACCGTGTGTCCCCTTTACACACGCGGCCGATGAAGCTCCGTGCTGAAGTACGGAGACCCGAGGGACCTGGCGTCCGGCGGACGGGCAGCTGGAGGGGTGAGCAGTGACCTGGGTGTGCACTAGCCTTCTCTCCTCTGCCTGCAGATTCTACACCCATTTCTCACAAAGGCAGCCGGAAGTCCCGGCTTGGGCGGGCACCTGGCAGTCAGGTGTGTGACTACAGAAGGATGAGGCAGTACGATGCCACCCACTGCTCTGTACCAGTCGGGGGATGGGGCAGGACTCGCAGCCCTAGTGTCCCCGTTGTCTGGATCCGGGAACTGGGATCCTGGTCTCTGGGGACGTGCATCATAAATGTGTCCCTGGCGTTCAGGGCTCTGCCAGGTTCCGGCAGCTCTTCTCTGCCCAGGGTCCTTGGCTGGCCTCCTGTCATCGGGGAGGAGGAGGAGGAGGTCAGAAATGATCCCCAGGAGCAGCTCCACGGTCATCTGGGGGCTCTGCGGGGCCTCCGCTGGGGAAGACTCCGTGGGTGAGTGTGGCTCTCAGAGGCCTGGCCAGAGTGGCTGGCATCGGGCACCTGAACCTGTGTGTGGCTGGTGTCCTGGAGTCGTGGGACCCAGGCTGGGGGGCTGGATGGCAACCCTCCTGCCAGTGAGTCCGGACCACGAGCTTCCCCAGGGGAGCGCGCGTTCCCGGGTGCATGTCCGCGCTCACACTTCCCCTCTAAGGACGCGGGTCGGGTTGGGTGAGGGGCCCAGCCTGCTGCGCTATGACCTCATCTTCACTGATTACATCTGCAAAGGGCCCATTTCCCAAAAGGCCACATTCTGAGGCACAGGGGATTGGTCAGGATTCCAACCTAAGAGGTGGGGACACAGTTCCCGTATATTTTAGAAACCGAATTTATAATGTCAGGTCCATGGTTCTCTTTTACAACCGTGATCCGGTGGCCAGTCTGAGAATGACTGTAATTTGGACACAACCGTGAGTTCATGATATTCCAAGATACTGACGACTGTAACGTGAGGACATCCAGTCGGTCATGGAGGCTGATCATAGCAGTGAGGTGGTTGGCTCTGTTCCCAGTTGAAGAAAATGCTGCTGGTTAGAGGTTCGTGAAAATAAGGGTGGAATTCTTTCCTACTGAAGGGCACAGGCCCCTGAAATCGATCCCAAATCCCAGGGGATTCTGGGATTCGGGATCCCAACCCCAGACCCAGGCCTGAGGTGCAACAAAGCAGGTGAGGATCCAGGACAGCCGTGCGTCGCTGCTGGAAATGGACCCCAACCACACCTGCCTCTGGACGGGGCCTGATGCTGGCAGCGGCCTCGAGCCCAGAGCCCAGGAGGTCAGGTGGGGCCCGTTCTGGCACCGCAGCCAGAGGGGCAGGGAAGGAGGGGGGAGGCTGGCCACCTCTAAGTTGAGAAGAATGTTCCCCCCTCCCACGGGGAGAGGCTGGTGGAACGACCGTGGCTGGGACGATGCAGTTCATTTCTTACTGCACGAAATACCCACCTACAGATGACCCAGAACCACCAAAGGCTCTTTCTGAGCCCCTCGTTAAAGACGATTAAGCGTGCTTACAAGGCTTCTTCGCTCCCCACCAGAATTTATATAGCCTTGGGTGCTGAGCAGGGATGGTGGCCACAGGCCATTGGGGTCGACGATCTGGGCTGGCCCCTCACTGGCTCCTGTACCCGGGAAGGGCCTTTGGACACAGGCAGACCTGGCTAAGGAGCAGTGAGGAGGGACCACCGGGCCTCCTTACTGGCCTTGGGAAATGCAGCCCCCTAGGTAGGCTCGTGGGGCGCTGATGGCTCTACGAGGCCCGACCACGGGAGCTCTAACCCGCCAGAGCTCTGTGGGCCAGCTTGGGACAAGGTTCCCAGGATTTCTCACCCCATCGCTGCTGGGGCTCCCTTCCCAAAGCCCCATCCCAGACATGGTCTGGCAGCACGGCGGGTCCAAGGAACGTGGAATTGGGTGCGCTGGCCAGTGACTGGGTGCACACCTCACCCTGGCACCGGGATGGTGGCGGCCCTTCTCTGGGTGTGTGGTGTGGCGTTTAGCGCTCCCCAGAACCTGACCTCACTTCCTCGTTAACCCTGCCGCCCCCAAATCAGATGCACACAGGGGAGAACTGACCCGGCCCCTGACTCCTTCTGGCCACTGTGGCCTCCTGCCTCCCACCACCAGTGTGAGCCCTTGCACGGGGCGAGGGAGGCTTTAACCTCTAGGCCTGTTTCCTCACCAGCAGGAGGAGGACGGGAATGCCCAGCTCCTGGGGTCACGGTGCAGACCACAGGGGCAAGCAGGCAAAGCGCTGGTGAGCGGCAGCACGGGCGGGCCTCCCCGACGCAGGCACACACAGGGCCAGGTTCTTGAAGAGGCCGGAGGCTCTCTGCGTGCCCCACTTGACGAGCTCCAGAGGAGGAGGAGCAAGCCAGTGCGGACAGGCTCCTTTCAACCCCAGGACAGACGGGCAGGGGCAGAGGCTGCTCCCTGTCCTTCGGTACCCACCTCCCCTCTAGTCAGTGACCATCTGGAGTTGTGGCCGGCATGTCCAGCCTCACATGGAAGTGTGCACAACTTACGTGTGCAAGTTTGGGGGCACACCCTTTAAGAGGTTTGCTGGTCCTGTCCCCTCCCCTTCCCAACGGCTGGAATGCAGATGAGATGGCAGGAACAGGGTGGCCACGTTGGGCCAGGAGATGAAGCCTTGCATGGAAGCTGCCAGGGTAAGATAGAGGAGGCTGGGGCCCGATCCCACGGAGCGACTCCGGCCGGGGCTCGCTCAGCCACACCGAGGCTGCATAATGAGAAATACGCCTCTGCTTACCACCTGCGCCGTTGTCTACTGCAGCCTAACAGGAGGCTGCGCCCACTTCTGGTGGCCAGCGTCCAGGCCTGTGAGGGGGGCGTGCTTGCGGTCATTCCCAGGACCCGGGCAGGGGTGGGCAGCATGAAGGGCTGTGCCTGGGGGTTTGTGGAGGGGCGGGGAGGGCGTCTGCCTGGAGCTTCTCAGTGCAGCACACTTGATCACACGTACAAGATCGACTCACACGTTCAAGGCCAGTTTGGGTTCTGGGGGCCTGCGTACCGTGGAGGTTCAGAGCGCATTGGGGGTGGGGGCAACGCTGGGCTGCCCGCTCTGAGGGGTGCGCAGAACCCACGATCCTGAAGTGGGAGTTACACTGGCTGTGGAGGGCGTGAAGGGACAGCAGGGGACACGAGCGTCAGAGGCCGCCTCCCCCTGCCTCCCCCTGCTCACACAGAGTGCCGGCCCGGGGCTCCCGCACAGACAAGCCCATTTCACTTCGAGTTCCCCGCACGGGCTTTTTCAGGAAAGCAATCTGGATTCTATGAGGGTCAAGGGCCAACTCGAAGGCTTCACAGCTGGGACAGTCTGAGGAAAGGAAGCCATCTCCTCTGGGCACCAGGGGTCCTTGGGGAGGCAGCCTCCCCGCCCCCCCCCAACTCTTCAGTGGGGCAGATGCCAGGGGGCAGACTTCCAGCCCTGACTGGTAGGGTGAAAGCCAAGTGTGCTGGTGCCTTCTGTCGCAACACGGGTCCCAGCCCCCAGGGAAGCACAGGTTTTCTCAGCTCTTTTATTAAGTTAGAAACAGAAGGAACACAACTCTTGGGGGAAGCACCACCACGAGGTTCGCGGTGCTGCGTGACAAGTGTGCTTGTCCCACCTCAGCCTTCCAGAAGCCGGGCCGCCAGGCGACAGCCTCCTCCACCCCTAGCCGCCCCCGCCGCGCCCTCTCCCGGGTCCAGCGCCCTGGGCTTCGTGCTGCCGAGGCTGCGCACTGGACCTGCAGAGGCCAGCCTCTGGGCCAGCAGCGTCTGTGGCCCCCGACGGACCTGGAGATGCACTCGCTGCTTCCAGTGTTTCCAAAGCGGCAGCCGACGGGCCGTGGCCGGGGCTCACGGGCGGGTGAACCCAGCACCAAGAGCCCTCCCCAAGGGATGCCCACAGGGCCAGCGGCAGCACGGAGTTCCCGAGAGGCGGCAGGGCAGGGTTCCAGACGGCGGCTGGTTTCTGATGCGGCCCCATCCACGGCGCAGCTCGCTTGGGCGCCCCAGTCCCGACCCAGCGGAGCAGCACCGAGCAAACGGCAGGCAGCTGGCAGGCGGCCGGGGAGGCCCCGGTTTGGCCCAGGCCCCATTCTGCCCCCCCAACAGTGATGCCCAGGGGTGGCAAGGCTGGGCTGCAAACCCTAATACTAGGTGTGAGCTGCCCCTCCGGAACCCCAGATACTGGGGATACACGGATGAGGGACCCACTGACTTGAGACGTGGAGAAAATGACTGAAGACCTGGCAGTTCTCCTCGGGACCATTCTTGCTTTTGGGGCCCAGTGAGCAAATGGGCCAGTTGGAAGGCCCAGATGCCAGAGGACAGCTAGTGCTGGCTGGGGGCCCGGGGTCACAGGCCCTGCTGCTATCCTGCAGGCCTGGAGGGATCTAGAGTGGGTGCCCTGGAGTAACCCTGGGGGTGCCATCTCCTATTTGCTCCCAGGCTCGGGGGCCCCACCACATCCTGAGGGCCAGCACGGTCCTGTCAGGAGATGGGGTCACTGCCACCTCTTGGGGTGGGCTCTGAGGACAGGCAGGCTCTGAGGAGACAGGCAGCCCCCAAGTCCGGTGACAGGGCCCGAGTGTCTCTGCACCAGGGCAAGGCTGGCCTGACTTGGGGGAGGGGCCCAAAACAGCTTCCTCTTTAACCCTGGGGGTCTTGGTGTCATTTGCTAATGAAGTCTCGTGGGTACCACCGAGGTCACCCGATGGGTTTCTGCCCATGACACGTGTCCTTGATTTTCTCCTGGGAAACCTGTATTCTCAGTCCAGGTGGACCCCGTCTCCCCGAGGTGCGGGACACCCTCTGCTGGGTGACGTTACAACGATAACAGGGAGGGGGCGAGGCCAAGGCTGTGCTGTGGGCGCTGCGTGAAGGCCTCCCAGTACTGCCCATCCCAACACACCCAGGGGTCCCCCCTGCCCAGCCTCCCGTGCCCCTGAACAGGACTTGCTGAGACCGGCAACCTCAACGCTCTGCACACATGGCTTGTCCCCGAGGCCGAGGGAGTGCTGGGGTCGGTCGACGTGCCTGCGGAAGGTCCTCTCCCCTACAAACCACTGCAAAGCGGAAAAGGCCTCCGGCAGACACACGGGGCACTCGAGACGGCTTCTCTCCTCCTGTCTGAAGCTCAGGACAGCCCCCGAGACTGCTGCTCCCAGAGCCGGTGGGACCGGCTTCCGGCCACCTCAAGTGCTGCTCCGGGGCCGGGCTGAGCTTCCCACGGCGGCGGACGGGGTGAGGGCCACTCTGGGACATTGAGGGCTGCAGCCGCAGGGGTGGGGAGAGACACGCAGAGTCTGCAGAGGAGAGAGAGGGAGGGAGAGAGCATGAGTCACGTGCACATGGCTCTGTCCTAACCTGGAACAAAGCAAGAACAGGGAGGCCCCACACAAGGGGCTGGAAGTGAGGCCCCAGGAGAAGGCCGGGGCGTGAGAACGCAGCTCTTCCGTTTACCAGCAGTGCAGCCCTGGGCAGTTCGCGTCTCCCTGGGCCCTGGTTACCTCACCTGGAATGTGGCAACCATCCCCTGTCCCCTCAGCCCCTCAGCTCCGTGCCCTGAGCCCCCACAACCCAGAGGCACCACACTCGGCACTGGGGAGACAGGAGGGCAAACAGACACCAGCGACCGTATCCCAATCGTCGCTGGGTGGGAGACACTGTACGCTGGTACCAGGAACTGCAGACAGCAATCACACGCTGACAGAGGTGCCATATGTGAAAAACAAAAAAGTAGAACCAGGACTTTTTATTTTGGTGGAGGGTGTGGGTGGGTGGTAATACTTAACCTGAGACCTGAAGGAGGGACAGGAGGTTGCTAGAGGGGGTAACAGCAGTGCAGGCAGGGGGACAGGCAGGGGGAATGGCACATGCAAAGGCCCGGGGGTGGGAAGCTGACGTGTCTGAAAATCGACAATGAGGTCAGTGAGGTGGAAACAGGGCAGGTATAGACACGGCCAGAGAGCAGGGAGGCAGGCGCGGACGCCAGCCGGCACACTGGTCTCCACAGGTATTTACTGCGCCCTGACACGGGTGCCGGGGGCCGACGGTGGTGAAGGAGGGAGCAAAGGCCTGTGGTCACCGAGCTCACGCTCTAGCCTGGCTTCTCCCTCGGTGTAGCGTCTGCTCTCTCTGAGCCTCCTGTTGTCCTCCGGAAGACGAGGGATGGCTCTAAGCCTCCTGGAGAGGACGCAGCAGTCTACTGCACGAGAGCTTTCGTGGAGGGTGTCCTTGAAGAGCATGCGATAGCCCCCCTGGGCCAGCGTGGTCCATTTTAAAGCCTGTCCCACCACGACGGCTCAGCATAGCGTGTGAAGATGTGGCTGTGGACATGTGTCCGGGTCAGGCGGTGACACCCGAGGTTGGAGCTGAAGGAGCAAAGGGCCACATGGGCTCAGAGGGGGCCCGGCCGGGTGGGGAGGATGATGCGCTCAGGACAGCATGGCAGGGACTGCCCACTTGTCTTCCACAGGGAGCCGAACCCCTGGGGTGGGGGCGGCTCTGCACGAAGAGGTTCTCTGGAGCGCTCCCAGAGATTTCCAGGCACCCGCGTGTCTGCATACCCATTCAGCGCCGGACAGCACACTTAGTCTGGACAGCACTGGAAGTGCCACGGGATCAGGGGTGGCCCTAACCAAGGAGACACGTGTGTGCCAGGGGACACGGAGGATGTCCTTCCAGCATGCTGAACTGCCCAGAGGAGTCTCCCGGGGGCTCCGGAGAGGCGCAGGGAAGCAGGGCCTGGGCACAGGCAGGCGGAGCGCTCCAGGAAACCTGCGCGTCCGCCAAAAGGCAAAGAGGCAAGACCATCTCTGCAGGACAATTAATGATGCTGCTCTTGATGTGACAGCTTCGGTGAGACCGAGCCTCCGCATTTGTGTCCGCTGGACAGGATCTCTGCACGTAAGGGGCTTGGAGCTACCTGCAGGTCTGCATGTACTCAGGTAACATTTAAAAATTCACGCCAGCACTGGAACCTGTGGGACTTTCTTCCTTGCTCCATCACTGCCAAGGCTTCTGGAAGGTTGGCTTAAACACGGCAGGTAGTCCTCAGGGGGTCAGCAGCCCCCAGATGCCAGACAGGGCAGCCACTTTTTCCTCGGGGTGGCGGCTGGTGAAGGCCCCTCACAAGTGAGCAGCTCGGTCACAGGGCCTCTAACATCCCCAGACGCTCCAAGGTGGCCAACCCACACCTCTGGGGCCCATCTCCGTTCCACACCCTCACGCCGCACTAGGCAGACAAGGGATTCCTTCCGAAGCAAGGCCCTACTGCTTCCCCAAGCCAAATCTCAAAGCCCCTCATGGCAGGGGTGAGGGGCCGTGGGACCCTGAGTGGCCCCTCTGGGCTGGCCGGGTCGCTGAAGAGGAGACAGCACCCAGACGCACTCTTGCGGCGGAGGAACTGGGGAGCCCGCCTCCTGGCTCCTGAACTCCCTCCCAGCTCACACAGCCACCCTCGGACTCGGCCACAGCTGCTCCGGTCTGGGCCACCCCAACTTGGGGCAGGTGCTTCTCCGAGGCCTAGGTTCCCCCCATCTGTCTGATGGGACATGCCTTCACCTTGCAGGGTGGTGTGGTGTCTGCGGTCACCCCCACTGCCTGCGCACGGCTGGCCCTGGGAAACCCCTTACGGCTCTCACGGTCCTGTGGGTCGGGGGTGAGGGGTCTGCCCCACAGGACTGCAGCGAGGGAAGGCGGCCGGCATCCGGATCCAAGGCCTGGCACACGGCCAACCCCAGTGAACCCCAGCAAGCACGGGACTGTGGGTGTGTGGACGGATGCACGGAGCTGGGGTGTTTCAAGAGGCCTCAACTCCCGCCCAGGCACCTTTCTCACGACACCAGCCCCATCTGTGTGGATCTGGGCTCTGGGATTTCCTCTCAGTGGCAATTTCTTTTAAGGCAGGACAGAATGTGCTAAGTCGCCCCTCCAGTGGCAGTGACTGAGCCCCTCGCAGGGCCTCACAGGGCCCCGCAGGGGAATGACAGGCTCAGCCTTTCCCAGAGCTGGGACTGGAGGCCCCTCCACCCCCACACCCCAAGTGGCTGGGTCCCAACAATGACCGTGGAGAGATGAGCTCCTGGTGGCCTGGACGCTTGCCCGGCATGCTGGGTGGGGGTCAGGGGAGGAAAGACGAGGGCGTTGTGCCTTTAAAGGGCTTGATGGGGGAAGGGGGACTCAGTGGGAGAGAGAAAGAGAAAAGAACATTCATGGCTAGTCTACACTTCACGGGTAACCCAGGGTAACCCAGACCCAGCTCCGGGGGCCTCCCAGCGGCCGCTGGCTGCGGTCACCCAGATACGTGGGTCTGGCTACGACTTGGGGGCTGGGGCTCGGGGCTGGTCCTGGAGCTCCTGCAGGCATCAGGCTTCCGACACAGCCATCAGCCCTACCGCTCGGTGGTCGCCCGTGCCGGTCCCCTGCTCGGTGTCAGGGTGCGGACGGGAAGAGACCAGTGTCTGGCTCTCCACATGCCTGCAGGAGTGGGGCATGTCGGGGGCGAAACCCTGCTCCAACCCTTCCTAACACCGTTCACCGGATGCCAACAACCTACCCCGTGTCTCAGCTGCCACCTTTGCAACAGCAGCACCTGGGACGGCTCGTTCTGAGGGGTCAATAGCACGCCAAGTGCACTCACCGTAGACGGAGGCACCCGCCGGGAACTCAAGGCCGGTGGCCGAGACAGGGAAAGGGCAAGGCGGAGCGGGGCGTGACTGCGGGGACGTCAGCCGGGGGCATGCTGAGGGATGCCGAGTGCAGGCGACCTCTGGTTGCTGGTTCCTGAAGTCGGAGCCGTGCAGGCTGGGCAGGGGGTCGGGGACAGAGGGGCACTCCAGGCACAGAGGCAGAAAGGTCCCTGCGGGAGGGCCTGGGACAGCGGGGCAGGGAGGTGGGCGCGGAGATATGGGACCCATGCTCTGGCACTGGGCCGGGGGATGCCCAGCTGGCAGTCAGGCTCAGTGGAAAGTGCCACAGTCCACTGCGGGTGCCCACGGCAGGCAGACGGGGAGGCGCCCGGCCTGCACATCTCTGCTCTTCCGGTCCTCCATGCCCACGGATGGTGCTCGGCCTGGGCTCCTCTTGCGCCTCGTTCGGCTGCCACAGCTCAGCAGTCCCCACCCCCACACTGCTGCCGTCCCAGGCCCCAGCCTGGCCTCCACCTCCATCTGCCGTCCTGACTCAGGGCGCCCCCTCCAGCCCCAGCCTGCGGCACTGCGGTGGCGGTGGCGGCCGAGCAGCCACACCGGAGGGCCACTGACCTGCGGCTGCAGCCCTACCTCCTGGGGAGAGAAGGGAGGGCCCGGCACCCCCAGGGCATCAGCTTCCTGCCCCGTGCCTTGTCACAGGCGCCTGCCCAGAGAGCCCCGTTTAGGCCCCGGCCTTGAAGAGATCCGGAGAACTCCCAGCTGTCCGAGACAGACAGGCTGAAGGGAAGCAGGGCTGGGTGGAGCACGGGAACCCCAGGTCAACCTGCTGGACAGAATACGGGAGCGGCGGTTCCCAGGCGGACGAGGGACTGCAGGAAGGGGGCTGCTTGGCTGCAGGGCCCTCGAGGAGGAAATGGCACGGATATGGAGCAAGAGCTAAAGGACCTTCTGCTGGCGCAGGAGCTTGGGAAACCTGTGCCCGGGACACTCACCCACTCTTGTGCAACCACGGCCCTGGGACGGCAGGGCCCAGGCACAGCTTCCCACCGGGATGCAGGACGGGCTCCATCTTGTGCCATGAGCCCCTCTGCACCTGCTTCCTCCTCCCTGAAAGGGGGCTGACAGCGGCACCCCCACTATGGACTGGGCCCGACTGAGGGACAAGGCAGTACTCGAACAGGCACACCCCACGTGCCTCCTAGACCCTTCTAGAAGGAGGGGCTGGCCCAGGGATGCAGAGAGGCCTCCACTGCCCAATGCATCCCGAAGCCATTATTACCACCATCACCATCCTTCTGCTTCATCACCTCGTATAAAAACCGACTCTGAACAGCCCCTCACTTGACCTACACAAGTATCAGGGGTCACACAATTTCTACTCTCTACTCCAGGTGGCAACACTGGGCTCAGGGGAGGGTCAAGCAGCCAGTGAGAGCCAGAACCAAAGACAGATGCGTGCTTGCATCCCCATCCCTGGGATGGGGGAAAACTCCTGGAGAAGCACAGGGCTCACGAGGTCTGCTGGCCTGTCCCCACCCCTCCCACGTGGGGTTGAACTGCTGTCCAGGGTCATGGGGAGGGCCAAGCACCAACGGGAGGAGCCCTCAGGCCCCACAGGAGACCACCCCCAAGTGCAGGAACAGGGAGGCCATGAGGAGTTGCCGCTATTCTCTTGAAGTTTATACCCCAGGGGACCAACAACGGGGGCCACTCAGATTTTTCTCCCAAAGAGGGACAGAGCAGATTAAAACAAAACAGGGCAACTGCAGAAGGGGACAAAGCTTTGGCCTTTAGGGGCCCGAAGACCCTGGACATAGGAGGGGACGTAACCTGGATGGCTTCACAGGCCATCGCATCCCCATCAGGGCCTCGAGGCCCAGCCGACCTATCTCCGGGCCAGAGCACGTGCTTGTTGGGAGGGGCAGCCTCAGTAGCCACCACGTCAGGGAGGAAATCAGGTTTTCGGCCCGGGCTGGCTCCTGAGGGGGCTTCTGTGACCTGAACTGAAGGGGACCGAGTCCAGGCCTGGCCTGAGGGCTGGTTTCTGGAACTGTGGCTGGCCACCAGCCCTCCCTGGTGGGAAGGCTAGCCTGCCAGGCCTCTTCTCGCGCTGCACACTGAGCCTGGGATCTCTTGCCCTGTGCCCCTGCTTCTCATGGCCCCTAGGACCGAGGCCTCCCTGCCTCCCACCCACCCTGGGGGCCCCAGAACTCAGTCCTAAGGGCTGGGACTAAGAGCCTGGCTTCCCCAGGGCCTGACCAAGGAGGGTGGGATCAGAACATAATCCCTTCCCCGGTGCCTCCAACTCCAGCGCGCGCTTTCAGCTCCTACTCCTGAGCTCCTAGCCGGAGCTCATGGTGCCCTAATCCAACCGAGGTTCTAAAGCTGTCCCCGCCCCAGAGGGGCTGCAGGAGAGACCCCCTCCACCCTCAGAAGAGGCCTGTCTGGATAAGCTGGTCCTTCCCTCCAGCTGATTCTGTACCTGCCCTCAGGCCTTGGTAAGTCCCTCCTGTGTCCCTCCATCCCTCCAAAGAGCCCCTGACAGTGCCCCTTAGCTCCCTGCATCTCCTGTCACCTTCCCCTTTTGGGTAAGGATCTCACATCATTAACAGCCCCAAGAACAAAGAGCAGGAGCAGAAACTTGGGCAGTCCTCTGTCGCAGTCCCTGCCCAGCCCAGGGGCTCACGGTTCACCACGATGCCCGCTCGGAGGAAGGCCTGCTCGACACCGCACGGGACGGGAGCAGCACCCTGATGCCTCCACAGGGTGCCTGCTCCACAGCTCCAGCACGCCCCCCACCACTTGAGCGCACCTGTCCACCATCCCTGTTTCTCATGGGCCCCTGGGGTGCCGTTTGCACGCTGGATGCACACTGGACTCGCCTGGTCTGGGGCGTGGCGTGGGCTTTAGCACTTGTGTCATGAAGAAGCCTGGCCTTTGCCCTTGGCTTCTGGGTACAGCTGTACCCAATAGACTCCTTGTTTAGGGCATGGGTGCAGTGGGCACATCGTGCGACTTTGGGTAGGGGCTTTGGGTCATGCTGTACCAGCTGGCCTGGAGTCGGAGAGGAACCCTTTGGACAACCCATCGAGCCTCCATGATGGGGCCCTGGGAAGAAGTCTGGAGCTTGTGTGAGCATCCCCGGTGGGCAAAATTCTGTGTGTCCACTCGCCTATGGCGGCACAGTGACACTGTCCGGACTGCACGGGCGGAGGGCTCTGCCCCGGTCATCTGTACTTGGCCAACCCTTCCTATAGCAGGCTGTGACCGTGACCACAACCGCCTGCAGTGCGCTCTGTGAGTCCTTCCCGTGAATGCTCGCATCAGAGAGGGATCTGGGGAGGCCCTAACTCACCGCTGTGTCAGACGTGAGGATGTCCTTGCGTGTGGGCTGCTCCTGGACTTGGCCGGCGGCCCAACGTCCATGTAGTGCTGTCAAAGACCCCCAGGGATTCTGACGTGCAGCCGTGTCTGGGACGCACCGCACCCATCAGGTGGTGGTTCCCATTTGGCAGAGGCCTTACGTGCTCTGCTCAAGGTCAACGGCAAATAAGGGGCAGAGCTAGGCTTTAGCTCCGGATCTGGAACAGGCTCCCAGAGCACCCAGCCGCCTGCTGCCCCATTCAGCCCTCCCTGGCGGACACAGTATCCCTGCCCGGGAGTGGGAACAAGCCCCAGGCTGTGGGGACTCACCTGGCGGGCTCCGCAGGTGCTCCTCACGACGGCAGGTGCTTCCAGGTGCTGACAAAGGCCGTGGGGATGAGCGAGTAGGGCACGGTGGTGATGCAGTTCCACGTGTCCGAAGTGGGGTCATAGCAGTCCAGGGTCTTACACCTCTGGGTCCCGAAGTAGCCCCCCACCACATAGAGCTTGTTGCCCGAGGCCAGGGCATGGCACGACATGCGTTTGGCAGTCATGTCCCCGATCCGCGTCCACTGGTTGGTCTCGCAGTCGAAGCGGTAGGCTGAGGCGGCCGTGAACTCCGTGTCACCTCCCATGATGAAGATCTGGCTGCCCAGCACGGCGGCTGCTGTGTACCGCCAAGGCTGGGGGCACTCGGCCTTGATGGTCCACCGGTTCTCCGAGGGGTCGTAGCACTGGACCTTGGACACCATGTCTCGGTGGATGCTGGTCCCCCCGAAAACGAAGAGCTTCAGCTTGGCGCTCACCACGGCGGCGTTGCTGACTCCGTCCCTCAACGGGGCCACCATCGTCCACTTGTTAGCCCCGGGGTCATACTTCTCCACCTGCTTGAGGGAGACCGAAGGGGAGGCCGGGAAGACGCCTGCCAGGGAAGTGTGTCCCCCGACCACGTAGAGGCAGTGCTCCAGCTCTGCTGAGCCATGACCAAAGCGGGCGATCAGCATGGGTGCCGCCTTGGACCACTCCTCGTGGACAGTGTCATACACCCACACGTCCTTAGAGACCCCGTTCTCAGAGCCCCGGCCCCCGGTCACGTAGACTTTGCAGCCGATGGCTGAGGCGCTGAATTCCTTCCGGGGGCTGGGCAGGTCGGCCTTGGGGATGATCTCCTTGGCCTTGTGGTCCACCTGGTAGATCTTGTCGCACATGAAGGTCTGGCCCCCCAGGATCAGCAGCGTGTGGCCCGCCTTGCGCGGCCGGGCGCAGGGGCTGGTGACCACCCCGTCATTCTGCAGGATCTTGGTCTTGCAACGGAGCGCCTCGTCTACGATGAGCCTGGTGCGCTCGTCGGCCATGAGGAGGGCCTCGCCGGAGACGGCCTCCTTCAGGCAGTCCGCCGGCAGCAGGGCCAGCCGCACGCTCCGGAGCAGCTCGGGCAGGTGGGCCTGCCTCTGCTGCAGGTCGTGCTTCACCCACTGGAGGATGGCCTCGAAGACCACGCGCTCGTCCTCCGTCTCCAGCTCGTCGCTGGAGATGAGGTCCAGCAGGGTGTCCTTGGACAGGCTGTTGAAGTCCTCGCTCTGCCGCACGGTCTCGAAGTGCAGCAGGCACATGCGCCAGGAGAACTCGTACAGCCTGCGGCACTGGTGCGCGTCCGAGAGCAGCATCATGCCCAGGCAGTTGGAGGGGAACAGGTTCTTCTCCAGGAACTCGGCGGCGGCGTCGCGCACGTCGTGGAACTGTAGCATGTCGCCGGCCTCCAGCAGCGACTCGGCGTTCTCCTCGTTGATGACGATGCGGGACGAGTAGGCGAAGTCCAGCAGCAGCTCCAGCACCTCGGGGTGCAGGTTGTCCTGGAAGTTGACCGTGTCGTCCCGGCTCTCCCGCAGGCCGTGGCTGAACATGGCCTCGAAGTAGCGGCTGGACGCGGCCAGCACGGCGCGGTGGCAGGGGAAGGCGCGGTCGCCGGCCCAGAGCGTGACATCCGTGAACATGCAGTGCTTGCGCAGCGTGTTGAGGTGGGCCAGCACGCAGTCGGGGTGGGAGGCTTTGTGGAAGAGGGTGATGTTCATGGAGCCCGTGCTGCTCCGCGACTTCCGGGTCTCGTGGACGCTGACCGACATGCTGAGCCGACCTGCCGCGGGACAAGGCCACAGGTGAGAAGGGCCAGGCCCTGGCTCCCGGCACAGACGGCCCAGGTTGCCCACCCTTCAGCCCCAGCCCTCCTCTCTCGGCCCTGTCCCTCCCCTCAGCCAGCGCTGGTGTGGGGGTAGCGGCTGGGGTCTACCTCTCCCTTCAGAAACTGATCTTTTGGATTTCAGACCAGCTTTGGAACCAAATGTCTTTGGCCTCGAAATGAACCACCTCGGGTGAGTCTGAGCTGCAGCTGCCTCCCATGGTCAAGGGAACAGTGGCCTTAGCTACTTAGTTAGCCCTGCTCTGACCTGAAGTCTGCTGAATGGCCCAAATTCAGCAGACTTCAGGTCAGAGCAGGGCTAACTAAGTAGCATGGGCCCTGGGCCATATCCCATTCTCCAGCTGTCCTCTGGGGACACGGCTCAGCTGGGGGAGCCAGGGCTCCGAGAAGCAAGTTCGCTGCCCCACAGTGCTGGAGCCACGCATCCCACGTCAGCTGCCCGGTTCCAATCCCAATTTCTACTCTCCATGGGCCCAAGGAGACAGATTCCATCAGGGTTTTCTGTGGCAGGCTGGACACACTATGAGCCCAACGAGCCACAGACCCCATGCAGAGTCTTATATCCTCCCCCATCCCCCCAGAGAAACCTGTCCTGAGCTGGGCTCCCAGCAGCACTGGCTGAAGTCCCTCAACTCTCTTGCCCTTGGAAAATTCCCAAGAGCTGCCACTACAGCCCAAGGGCTCAGTGTAGACGTGTTCTCCAGATCCAGGGTCGTCCAAGGCCTCCTGACCCAGCAAGGGCTGGGAGGCAGAGCTGGCTGACCAGTGAGTGGCTTCACCTACAAGACACCTGCTCGATTCTGAGGTCCCCAACAAGACAGCCACAAGAAGCGCCTGGGTGACAATAAGACGTGAAGTCCAGATTTGCCTCAGCTGAAGCCTCTGGAAAACCCAGAAGGAAAGGAGCCTCCTTAGTCCCTATAGGCAACTCCAAGGATCTTGGGCCACAGTGAGCACCTCACCTGCCCCCAACCGCCGTGCCCTCCAATGCCAGGCCAGGATTCGGGGCTCAGCGGGCTGCTCCGCATTAGTATCCTGAACCCCCCAAAGCCTGTGTTACATTCTTCCTGCTGGTAATGAGCCCCCCTCAAAAAAACCCAAACCTCTTCTTTTTCCTTTTTAATTTTCAAAAGTATTTAACCCCCAACCCCCACTCAAAGTCAATTTTCTGCTTAAGTAATAATCTGGTAAAGGAAGGAAGCGATTTCATGCTTCGCTGAGACTGTAAATTAGCGTCCAAGAGCTCTGCTGTCTCCTCACTCACTCCTCCCCCGGCAAAGGACCAGAGAAACCACAACCGGACAGGATGAGCCACCTGGGCAAGGCCCCTGCTCCCGGGCCCAGGCAGGAAAAGGGCAGAGGCTGGGGCTGGCGGTGCTGTTCCTAGCCCCCAAGCTCCAGGCAGGTGACCTGCCAGGGACACTGCTGTGCACAGCTGCCACTGCAGGCCACCAGGCTCACAGTTACGAGGTTAGCCCACGGGGTGGGAGGTGCAGCCGGCACGAGGGAAAGAGAGCTGGGCCCAGGTCCAGGCTGGACCGGAGGGTCCCCGTTCAGCCACCGCCCTCTCTCCCGAACCCCCATTTTCTCTTCTGTGAAACAAAGTCCCTGCTGGGACCTCAGAGTTACTCAGTTGTTGGCAGTTTTTTACAGAACATGACCTCTGAGCCTGGCCCAGGAACTGGGAGGCCCGGAGATGGAGAAGCTCCAGTGGCCTGGCCCCCAGAGGCTTTACTGGCAGCTCCGTACTTGGCCCAGATCCGAATTCCAGACACTGCAACACGTTTCCCCAAATCTTGCTCCCACTTTCCCAGATGCGGTCATTTATCAAGTGACTCCATCCACCCTGTCCCCACTGTGCCTGGGCAGAAGCGAAGCTATGGCCTTTGACCTGTGCACCAAGCTGGGGGGATCCTCCAAGGACTCCGATTCAGGGAATCAGGTGGAGACTCCTTATGGGGGGCTAAATGCAGGGTAAAACAGAACTCAAAGAATGAGAGAGTGTCAAAAAGCAGGGCAAACCCAAGTGGAGCAGCCGTGTCTGCCCCGAGAAGGAGGTCAAGTGGCAAGCTCTCCAAGGCCAATGCTGACTGAGCAGCCCAGGCCTCCAGAGCTGACTGACGTCTTGCTCAGCACCAGGAGGCCTGCCCACTGATGCAAATCCCCTGCATAGGCGGAGAGCCAGACCTGGGCGCACACACCCAAGCAGGTTCCCACCCCCAGAGAGCGGCCTGTCTGGGCACCTCCGTGCCGAGAGCAGAGGCACCTGCCTGGCTGTGGCCCCAGATTGTCCCACCTCCTTTTGGGCAGTGCCTGTTCTGAGCCAATCTTGCAGTGACAGCAGCCATCAGGCATGCACTGACTTGCCCCAGACCCTGAGGTGAGGTGATCGCATCCCAGAAGCATCATGATTCCTGGAGGTGGAGGGTCTCATTACCCCAGTTCACAGATGAGGATGCTGAGACCCAAACACAGGAAGGGAATCGCAGGAGCTACAAGTCTCCGGCCGGGCCCACAGGTCCCCAGGACTGTGCTTCAGCTCCGGGCTAGCCGGCACGGGAGGACAGGCTCAGAGCCGGGGGCCCTGGGCACCACCTGCCCTGCGGAGGGCTCCTCACCTCACCCCATAGCATCTGGAAGCCGGTCACCTCCACCATCACATGTCCGGGAGAGCACTGAATCTCCTCCGAACCTGCTGCCCACCCTGCCCAGGGAAATGGGCAATGGCAGCAACATGCTCCTTCTTATTCGGGCCCAACCTCCAGGGTCACCCCATCCCTCCCACCAGCAACACCCAGCCCTCAGCAAGCCCTGTGGCTCTACCTCCTGAGTCTCGAATCTGAACCTTCTGCCCTGGACTACTGGAAACCCCCCACCTGGTTCTGCTTCTGTCCTCTATGATCTGGGTCCCCTCCAGACACCAGAGGGATCCTCACCTGGATTCCATCATGCCAAGTCACAACCCACCAAGGGGTGTCCCAACACCCTCAGAGAAGTCTCAAGTTGTCACCGTGGCTGCCAGGCCCCACATGAGTCGACCCTTCCCCGCTGGCTGTCTTCTCTCCCCACATTCTGCCACTTCCCACCCTGCTCTCCCTCTCAGGCCACCCTGGACTTCTTACTGGGCCTCAGGACCTTTTCACATGCTGCTCCTTTGGCTGGAAGTCTCCCCTGTTGTCACTTCTTTTCTGCATGCCTCGCTCTGTCACCTCCTCAGAGGGTAACCTGACCTCCTCTCCACCCCCATCCACTTCTGCCCTCCTCACAGCACCCACCACTACATAACATTATGCATTTATCTGTCTCCTGTCTCCCCAGCCTGCTGAAGGTGGGGGCCATGTGTGGGGCTAACTGATGTGACCCCAACATGCAGTGCAACCTGGCACAGAGCAGCCACTTGATCTGACTGAATGAACCCCCTGCCTTTGCTCATGATGAAGTCCGGAGACATGTACAAGGCATGAAACTCACTCCAGTGGGCGTCTACTGGAGTTCAGCCGCTCTGCGGTCACAGAGAGGGAGGCTGGGATGGTGAAGGCTGGCCTGGGGGTGGGGGGCAGGGCACAATGGATGCGCGGGGTGGACACTCACTGGCTCCCCTCAGCACCGACGCCCTGACTGCTGTCAGAACCAGCCTCCTCTGCTCCAGGTGGTTGGGCCGGAGCATTCGGGCCTGGCTGGCCGAAGCAGCCCATCCTTGAGCCCTGGGGCTACCTGAATGGGACCCTGGCCGGGCCGATCCATGTGCCGTCCTCCTAGCCACCACGATGGGTCAAGGAGACTCTAGTCTATGGCATTTATTGGAACTACAGGGAGCGAAGCAGGTACAGACAGGACTGGAGCAGGGCAGGGGACTGGATGGTGGCCACACTGCCCAAGACAGGCACTGCACAGAGAAGGCACAGTAGGGCCTCTTGTCCCTGCAGAGAGCCTGCCTCTCCCCTTCCTTTTGTCTGATGGGGGTTTCTGTCACTGGCCACTTAGAGAGCCCACCAGGACAAGTGCTCACTGAACATCAGTTTCCTGGGGCTGTGCTCCTTGCTCAGTCAGGGGTCTCTGCTGGGTGGGTCCCTCCGCTCTGACCTGCAGGGGGGCCACCCCAGACATCGAGCATGGGTTTTAGGAGCTGGTTTTTCCGTGTTCACTAGCAGTTACACACACAGCCCTATGCGGGGCAGGGGATACACAGAGTGCGCATGGGCTCCCGTCCAGTGGCAGGAGGGGCGGGCATTGAAGAACGTGTGTTCAGGGCCATCTCCTTGGCTCCCTGCCTTGGGGGCCATGATAAATCAGATGCTCTCACACTGTGTGCATGAGAACTCTTCTGATTACCTAAGCATCCTCCTGGGCTTTGATGGATTTAAGGCACGTGAAGTAACAGCCGTGCTCCAGCCAGCAATCCGTCACCCTGCTGAGGGGCACTGATCTCCCTCAGACAGCACCTCCGCTCCCCGCACCGAAATCCTCACCTGCACAGACGCAGTTAAAATGCACCAGATAACCACGTACCTAGCTCACTTCTCCCATCGCCCTTGGAAAGTTACCTAAATGCACAAGGAAACAGAGTAGCCAAGGGGGTGAGACTTCCAGAAGAAACTCGCCATGCTCTCCAAAGATCCCAGCCCCAGAAAGCTGAAGGCCTCCATTCTCAGGGAAAAAAATGCATCACAGATGATCAAAACTGCTGTGGGGGGGGGGGGCACCTGGGTGGCTCAGTCGGTTGAGTTGGACTCTTGATTTTGGCTCAGGTCCTGATCTCAGGGTCCTGAGATGGAGCTCTGCGGTGGGCTCTGTGCTCAGCCTGGGGTCTGCTGGAGAGTCTCCCTTCCTCTGCCTCTCCCCCTCCCCCCATGCTCTCTTTAAAATATGTAAGTAAATCTTTAAAAAAAACAAAAACCAAAACCAAAATCCTGCTGTTGGTGCCACTGTCCAGAAGG